CTACTAGTAAGGCACCTGTTACTACTAGTAAGGCACCTGTTACTACTGGATTCTTGTGGGTAGCTGCTTATCTGGAGATCTGGCACAGATGCTTGTGGACTGCTTAAGTCAAGTAGGTGCCGGACCCGACTGTATGGCTCTGTATGGTATGAAGGGGTCGGGGGTTGGTCAAGTCGGTCCGGGCGCGCCCCTTTTGAGATGATGAGGAAGAGGGATGGGTGATAAGAGGGCTTGGTTGTGAAGGTGAACCATTTTCATGAAGTATGCCTCATCTCTTCTGTGCGACGGAAAAAGACCTTCCTCTGGACAAACGATATTTCAGGTGTTTTTTGATGTTTTTTGTGGGAACAATCGCGCAAAAAAGGACGGGTGTAGCTGGCGTCGGTCTTTTCTTTTGACCTTTTGGACCTTCCATCCCTTCGTGGCTTAGGCTGGCCGCGACAAGGGGCCATTTGACTCGATTCAACAGGCCGGTGGGTGGGTGGAGATATGGTTTGAATATGTTTGAATTCTTCTTCCCTGCAAAAATGCTGCAATTGGGAAAGTCCAAGACTGCTGGAATCGATGGACAGTTCTGAAAGACTTCAACCACCAGTGGAAATGAGTCGAGTTGTCGATGGACAAACAGCCTATCTGTGGCACAACAGATAGGTCAGACATGTAGTCGTGTTTCTATATTTGTGTTCTTTTTCTGCAATCTGCTACACATTCAACGCCGAGTCGACCAACACCAGGCGTACTCTGAAAGTGAAATCTGCCACACAAAGCAACCAAAGCCGCTCAGTCGCTCTGCCGGCTCGAGCGGTTGGTTTCTACGTTGTCTTCTCCAGGTGCCGGCTTCGAGTTCTGCCGCCCGGCGCCAGAGTTGGGGCAATGAATTGGTAGGGCTTGGTAGGGCCTGGTAGGGTGGCAGAGACGTTGGGAAGAGCTCGGAAGTTTCGAAAGATTTTTGGACACCCTCCGTCCTAATAGCGATGGTCTCCAACTTATCAGCAATGGCCTCCAACTTATCAGCAATGGCCTCCAACCTAGAATCATTGGCCTCCAACCTATAGGAGTTCAGGTTCTTCTGGGTTCTTCTGGGCTTCGATTCCTTCAGGTTTGGGATTTTAGAGTGCCTTCCTTGGCAACTCCTAGTTGGGTGTCACTCTTCAGTTGGGGGCAATTTGTGAAGAACGTGTCCTCAACCAAGAGATCTGGGGGGTCATGGGGGGCATCATTTGGCTTCGGTTTGAATCATTTGGCTCCTCTAAGGATGGGACTTTGACCTTGGCATCCCCCAAGCATAGCTACTTCACGGAGTGCGGGCGGTATTAGGTGGTCTGTGTGAGTGGAAAGGCTAGTAGAGACATTATGGCAGGGGCACATGCGTTTGGGATATAGAGCAGGGATGTTGATGGCTTGGTTTGAGGTTGTCAAAGACCGAAGGGTGGAGTGCACCTGGTCAGATTCCTCGGGCGCCGGGACGGGTGGAGCGCAAGGGGAGTTACACTGAATTTCACCCGGTAGTACCAAAAAGAGCTGTTTTTTTTTTGAACTCAAAAAAGATCTTGGTTCTTCCCTTTTCCGGCTTGCATTCTGGCCGGGCAAGCTCATTCATCTGCCCCATGTGACTCCTGAGTGACGCACGTGAGGAGGTGCCCACCTACTCCTCGCAGCCGGTGTCGCGCCCACGCCCGGATGCCTAGACTAGGTGTCTACAGGTGGTCCCTCCGGTGGGGCGGACACCCAAACCGGAGGTGCACGTCCCAGTTGCATCGTGTGGTAGCACGTCCCCTAGTAGCTTCTTGCTCCTAGTAGTAAGGCCAGGAGCCCCTAGTAGCTTCTTGTTACTAGTAACGATGCCAGGAGCCCCTAGTAGCGCCCTAGGCTGCAAGTTCGGAGACGCTTGCAACCGTGGCAACCCGACGCATTTCGTGGAGCAGAGCCATCCGGGCGATCCAGACGCGGAGGAGGTGGGGAAGAGGAACTGTGTCGCCCAGTGTCGCCCGTCCACGCGTAGTCCGCCGGAGCGCCCGTCCAGGCGGGAGTTCAAGTACCACAGGTGAAACCTGGTCCAGCGCTTCACTCCAGGCGGGGGCCAGCGCGACTGAGACTCCGACGGGCGGAGCTCGGTGGGGCGTGGGGCATCGAAGCATGGCCAGCATGGCTTGACCCGAAATGCTTTGCCCAGAGACCTGGATGGGGCAGATCCTCAGAGACCTGTTGCCCCGATTCAGGTGTGTCTGGCTAAATTATACTAAATTGGATCTAAAGAGAGATCAGATGAAACGGTCACTTCGAAGCCTCAACCCTTCCAGGAATGGAAGCTTCGATTGGATTCGAACGGCCAACGAGAAGGCCCCAAAGCTGTGCAAGCATGGATCCATGTCTTTTCTTTTTCTTTGGCAGGTTTGTGCTTCGGCGTTTGCGGAATTTGCTTCGGAACTGATGGATGAGATGTTTTGGAATCTCAGCAGCTGACACGGTCACAGTCTCCTGAGAGCCTTTCCCCCTCCGCAGGAAGATCGTGATCTGCGTGCGCAGACGGCCACGCTGACGCTGAAGGCAGGAGACCTCACAAGGTTCTTTCAATGCTTCGCTCGGCGACATAGGCCTCTCAGGGGTTGTCTCTGCAACTCCAGCCGGCTCGGCCTGGATGGCACAGGGTCTGAAGCCTTCGCTTCCAAACAGAAAGCCGTCGTTGTCCCGGTTCGGCGAGGCCTGCCGAGCCTGTGGATATCAGCTCTCAGCGGGTGGTGTGGTGCCCTTGAGGCATACGGATATGATGGTTGAAGGCGCCATTTTGCGGCGGGAATGGGATGAGAGAAGGCTCTTTCGAAACCGGAGACCGGAGACCTTCCTCATGAGTGGGTTCTGCTGGAAGAGTCTTTCCGTTGGAAGAGCAAGTCGAAATACTTGAGGTTCAGATTGCCAGAAGGTGGGCAATCTCAGAGGTTTGGAGGTTTGGCAAGGGGCCAATGTCGGGAATTGTTGAGAGTATACTTGAGAGTCTATTTATGATTCTTGGTATTTCTTTGTACTTGGACTATTATGAACGAGACTCAACCGAAGTGCAAAAGGACCATCAGTGACCGAAGAGCGCCTGGCAGGAACAAAGATCCTCACCCTGGAGGAGGCTGGGCTCGGACGTATGATGTAGAATCATATCATATATACATACATTATGTATCATTATGTAATATATAATATATGTGTCCTTCAAGGCAAGGCACTTCCTTCTTCATATTTTCCTTTTCTTGCTTTTCTTGGCTCCTTTATTTTCACTTTCCAACAAGGTCTTCCTGGCGTATGGATCCAGGTGGCCGCGCGCCTGGGCCCCCCCGAGCCGGGGCTTCTTCAGCTCGCCCGCGCCGCCGCGGCTGACGACCGCCGCGCAGGGCACAGCGCTGGACGCGGCGCTGGCGCTCGCGGAGCGCCGCGCGCGGGTGGCGGTGCTGAGTGCGGCGTCCGCCGGGGGCGCCCAGGGGGAAACCGAGCTGCGGTACCCAGTGGGGGGCCGCCCAGGTCTGAGGAGAAGGTTTGAACAGTATGAAAACGTGTGTCCATCATGTGATGGTCATGTCTCTTTTTTTTCGCAGAGTCTGTACCTTTTGCGAGATCTTGGTGAAGACTAGTCAGTGAGACATTTGAAGGATTGCTTTCTGTAGGAGGAGGTAGAGAGAATCGAATTGACACTATCATAACTTTTTGGGAGATCCATTAAGATCCCGTGCTTCTTTGGGTCAGGCATGATTTTTCACACATTCCAATGGCTTTGGCGTGGTTTCGAAACGCTGCCACCGCACCGCGTTGTGCTTGAGGCCTACCATCCGTGCGGTGGATTCCGCACTGGTGGGCGGCACGCCTTGGAGGAGTCGATGTGCGTCCAATCCACGTTGTCCCTCTCGTTGCAGCGCGCGCTCTACATCTCCAGGCGTGTGCTCGTTGTTGTGGGTACCGCTACGCTCTACTTCTCCTCAATTCGGATCTGCCAATTTGGTCTTATTGGTTTTGTTGAATGAGTGCCTTCTCCATGTAGCAGATCATAAGTAGTGATGTCACCACTGAGTGGAAGAAATTCTTGCTTTCGTTCCTGCCACCAGACATGGAAACGCTCAAGCCAGGGGGCCTCAGCGCGGGTTGATCGAATTTCTTGGGCTCGATGCGTTGGTCGGTCTTTTCCCCCAGTGATCCTTCAAAACCCCAAGCAGGTTGGAGTGACTCTGTGAAACATGGAACACATTTTGTGGTCTTAAGAGTTTGGCTCTTTCCTTTTCGCTGTCTCTCAAAGTGTCGGGCGATCTCGTTGGCGCTGTGCGGCTTAGGAGGTTTTATTGTGTTCGATCACCATGACATGTCCTCAGGATGCCACCCCCGTTGGCCAGCTACATGATGTCGGCGTGTTGCGCCAAGGTGTCCGTGCCAGAACGCTTGAAGCGCGACCAAAGGAGCGCTGAGGGTTTGGTCGGTGCGAGTGACCTTCAGCCACTCCCGCCGACCACGCGCACGCCGGCGATGGCGATGGCGATGGCTCGCTTGTGAGCGCCAGCGCAGGAGCGAGTGGTTCTGCTACATCCCAGAGACCGGTGGGATCTTGAGCCCCAAGGTGGAGGTCTTCCGCAAGGGCTCCGCGGAAGGCGATGGAAGACTGCGGGACGGACGTGACTCACCGGTGACTCGAGTGACCCCGTGGTGTTTGAAGAGCGATGTGCTGAGAGGCTGAGAGGTTGGTTGGCTTGCTGAGGTGGGTTGGCTTGAGGCGGTCACTTTGGCTGATTTGCATCTCTGGATGCCGCAAGTTTCAGTTTGGCAGGTTATGGCTTTCTGCCGAGCCCTGTGGAAGCTTGTCCAAAAAGCTAAGAAGTCTGCCAGAACATCGCCAGATGCCCCATTCCATGCCAATCCCATTCCACACAGTTGGCCCGACTTTTGCTTATCGTGAATTGCCCTCGCCTTTGGCCGCGCCCGCTCGCGCCCAAGGAGTTGGCGTCCGTGGTCAGTGTGGCCATGCCCAACAAGAACCCCAACGTCAAGGCGCCGGGCCGTCCGTCGCGTCCCGTCGTCCGGACAGCGACGGTTTTTCTTCCACCGCGCGAAGTGCGCTCGCGGAGTGATCGCTGCTCTCGCTGGAAGTCCCTAAAGCCGGTCAGGGGAGAGGCTGGGTCCCGGGCACTCCTGGAAGAAGTGCCTTGTAGAGTTTGGGGCACTTAGGGAGATGATGCAAACGGGGACTTCTTGGTGTTGGACGAGTGACGTGCTGTGTTGCTTTTAGCTTTGTTTGAGCGAAGCAATGTTTGTTGATCAAATCCAGACTCGATCGATTCGATCCACTCATGTCTTTGGGCTGGGAAACCGTCTTTTCTTCGGCTCCGCCAGCTCTAAACGGTGCAACTGTGGTCCACTAGTTGATCCTCAAGTGGAGTCTTTTGCATCGCTTTGGACAGAAAGGCACCATGCTCATCTCCCTGAACCCAGGGGGCCGTGCGAGCGGGCCGTTTGCGGGTGAAGCCGTGCGGTTTGCGGGTCGCAGGACTCCCCGTTGGATGCTCCTGAGTCGCCTGATGAGCCACTTGACAAATGTGTTGGGAGAGAAGAGCAGTCTTCCAACTTCCGTTGGAGAGAGGGTTAGAGATGTTGCATGATGTTCTTAGTCTCTCACATTTTTCTCACTCAGCTTTGTCGCTTCGACGCAACCGGCGGTACCGGAGGTACCGAGCGTTGCTGGTGGCCAAGCTCAAGGTGGCCTTGGGCGCCGTGCCTTGGCATGGCCGAGGCGGTCCTGGATTCGAGGCGGTGGAGGGATTCAGGCATTCCGATGCCGAAACGGTTCGGTGCTTTTCTTCTTAAACAAAGACTCACAAAGACCATACATATATATATATATATCTATACTATTGCATGCAATTGAGGATAGCCGGTGCTTGGGAACTACACAATGGTGCTTTCAGTTTGATTTGATGTTCATGCATCTCCATCCAGCAGAATGGTGTTTTTCTTCTCAAACGGGCTTTCGCGGAGCCGCTTCCACGCTTTTCCTCTGGCACTCACCGCGGGGCCTTCGGACGCCTCCGCCTCCGCCTCAGCTCCAAGGCCGCCATGAGCGGTGCCAGCGCGTGCGTGGTGCCTGGCCTGGGGTGCGGAGTCTTCAAGAACGATCCAGGCCACGGCCGTGCCTTCCCGTGTTTGCACGTGTTTTGGGATGGGTGGTTTGGGGCAACTTGGAGCTCCGAGCTGCTTTTGGTTGTCTCCATGTTGTCAACAAAGTGGACAACATGGTCTTGGCGAGGGACTTCGGTCAGGTTCAGGTGCTGAAAGCAGAAGTCAAGCACAAACTAGCTGCTAGCTATGTGTTGTTTTTCACATTTCTCATGTTTTTATTGGTAAGATGCTCACTTCGGTCCTTGGACTGACTGTACACCGCCAGGTAGGTAGCTTGCTGGTGAACACATCTTTAAGCTTCGACAGGAATCGAATGCGCTATGAAAAGAAGAACATGTTTCATTTTTTGCGTTGTCCACTGGCTTTTTGTGGTCACGACGTCTTGACTGTCTTTGTCAAGTCTAACAGTCTAACAAACCTGAAAGCTCGTGTGGAGAGTGCACCATGCGGTGGAGTGACGATCCAGGAGATGTGGGTGCTGCCTTAGGCGAGGCGATCGCCTGGGCGCCCTTGTGTGGGAAGCTCCAAGAGGCCTGGGCGCTGGGCATTCGACGTCACCAAACGTCATCAACGACAGTCGCAAAAAAACACGGTGGTGATGTGGGTCCAAGCAGCGAACTGCACTCCAGTCGCTCTTTGCAGTGGACGAACAGGGCGGGACTCTCATGTCTTCAGGTGATCCTGGCAGGAGTCCCAAAGGCCCTGGAGGCCGCCGCCCGGAGGCGCGGTGCCGCGCTCATGCGCGGTTGCGCGCGCGAACTGCGCGACAAGACATGAGATGTGGAGCCCCCAGATGGCCTCGGTGAAGCCCAAGTTGGAACGCACGAAACTCGCCTTTCGGAAGGCTAGACCTGAACAGGTTGAGGGTCATAGAACCTTAGTTGGAAGTTCTGGATTTTGTTGGGATTTCGTGACTCACGTACTGTGATTGCTTGTGGGAGGCTCTGGCTATGCATCAGGGCGCGCTTCCAAGGTTCATAACAATAGCTGAAAACCATTTCCACACTGAAAGCGCCCCCTGATGCATCAAGGGCAGTGTTTGTGGGAGGTTCTGAAAGCCATTTGAACACTGATTGAAAGCTCTCGAGGTGAACGCTGAGAAGCAATGAAGTGAAGCGATGAATCCTACGCCGTTGCCGTTGGTTGGATGAAGGGCTTTCTAGACTGAATGGATGATGGGTTGATGGTTGAGTCAATTGCTTTTGTACAACTGGATCTTGGAGAATGTCTCAACCCTACTTTCAAGCTGAATATGAGTGCCTCACTTTGTAACGACGCGCCAACCGGCGCCGTTGCTGTCGCAGCCCAAAGAGATGGCTGCGAACGTTGCCTTGATTTGCGCATTCCGAAGTTTGGAAAACATTGTTGATTGCGAGGCCCCACAACCGCCCTATTCCGCCAAGCATCAGCCATGCGCTAATGGAGATGCAATTCTTGCGCAGCATGTGGTTCTGCTAGGGTCTCTCCGTGTTTTTCTTTAATTATGTTTATTATTGTTTTGTATTTTCTTTGTGGCTTTGTGTGGAGGCATTTGTCATGCCTAGATGTCGGCATGTTGGTATGTGTGTTTTTCTCCAAACACCAACCGCTGGTTCTCGCCCTTGTGCATTTTGCCATTTTCTTTTCTGGTTACATTGGTTTCTTTGGATCAGGGTGGCTGCTGCCCCCCCGATGAAACGGCGCGGCGCTTCCGCGGAAAACAAAGACGACAGACTGGAGCGTGGAGCTCGGTTTTGAGGCAGGGGGTTGAGGGCGTGAAAACGCATCGTACGCTTCTGCGCTCTCGAGGCCACTTGTTACTGATAGCTTTTGCACTTGTCACTAGTAGCTTAGTAGCTTCTAGCTACTAGTAGTAATGCACTTGTTACTAACAGCCACACGCAAAACTGGATTGAAGTGGGGCGAAAGATCACTTCTAGGCGCCTCTGCGACGACACTTCTAGGTTCAAGTTGGGAGCGGCACGAGCCGAGAGTTTCTACATCCTATGATGAAGGGAGTCATGCTTGACAAGGTGCTTCAATAGTATACTTGCACTTGCACACAGGACAGTGCACACATTTTTCTCCGCGACCTTTGCTGCCATGTACTGGATAGAGGATGGGGTCACCCTCGCGATCGTGGTCAGTGCCGCCAGCATGGTCCTGGCAAGCGGACTTACAATAGTCTTCGTATTGACAAGGTGTGAGGCCAAACGAGAAAGACCCCCTCGGATACAGTATGTGAACTCTTCAGTTGTTCCAGTCTCTGTTGATGAACATGCCCAAGAGTCGCAAGAAAGAAGCCGCGTTTGTTCACACGTGATAGTTAGTGGAGTGTAGCACTGTCGATGAGTAACTGTCAGACATCTTTGACCATCCTGTTTCTTGAAACCTCTAGAAATTACAAGTGCCTCGCTAGTAGTAACAGGTGCCTTACTAGTAGTAACAAGAAGCTATTAATTTAAATTTAATGTAATTGAAAGGGTGCCTTTTTACTCAGCACGATGACACGTAGGGCGCCGCACAGCAGGCGTGGATGGAGGCCGACGACATCGACGTCTCGAGACCTTCCCGACCTGAGGAGGCGAGAGCGGAGCGGCGCGAACGGAGCGCGAACGCCTTACTAGTAGTGTTTCGGAGACGACAGGAGCGACAACGAGAGGTCGCGTTGGACACGGGGCGGGGTCTGAAAGACCGGGTGTCTCTGGGAGTTTTTTTGGTCAAGAGACGCTTCTGGAAGGGGTCCTGGTGGGAGAAATGCGTGCGACATCGCATGCGCATAATTTCGCGTGCAAAATGCTTCGTACTCTCTGGCGTTCCGTTTCGTGCGTAAGCAAACCAGTGGGTTTTACAAGCGAACCACGTTTCAGGAAACGGTTCGGTTCCTAACTTCCGGGGTGAGGACAGCCCCAGAAACACAGCGAAATGCCAAAATGCCAATGCATCCAGAGAACAAACCAATATCCATCAACGAGCCACGAGCCACCACCTCCACCACAACAACTGCAACAAAGAAGCGCCACAAACTGCTCACCCCAACGCCGAGTTCAGCGAGTGTCGCACACTTTTGGCCACCTATTGTTGGAGAAAGCTTGGCCTCGGTGATGCACTGATGATCACTGATGACTTCTTTTGCTTTTGCCAGCAAACCCAGCGTCGGTTTTTGCGGCCCCAGCCAAGAAGAGGCACGGGAGACCAAAGGAGACCAAGGGAGACAAAGCAGAATCATGTCAGCCGTCCGCCAGTCCTGGACCGCCAGGTCCGGGAAAACCTCTCTCATGTGCTCTCATGGCGCCCTCATAGCGCCGTCATAGGGGCTTATGGGAGTGGAGAGCCACTGTGAAGACGGTGGTGCCTTTTTGGGGGAACAAACTGCATGGTAGATGAGTCCAACACAATGGAATACAGGAATACCACAGCAGGCATGGCCTCGACCAGCTGCACCATCTCAAGGTGGTCTTTCTGCATGTGGCAGCGCAGCAGGGAAATGCTCATCATAGCTCTCAGCAGCCGCATGAGGGCAGAGTCAGCCAGCGGAGCGCGACCGTTGGGCGCAGAGCCGTCTTTTGTGCGTTTTCCATGACGCAAGGAAGACGACAAGGAAGAAGACCGGACTCGTTTGCTTTGTTTGCCACTTGCCTTACCATCTTGCATCACAAAAAAGATGACGCACATGACACGCCATGTTTTGCGTGTCCGGGTCTTGCTGTGGCTCTCACACAGGTGCGCACAGCGCATGTTCAGGTCTTGCCGCGCCTCACACTTGGCCGCAGGCACCATCGGAAGTCCAAGGGATCGGTGGGTCTGGTGTTCTACTTCGATGTGCAGATAAGCTACTAGGAACAAGTGCATCGCTAGTAGCAACAAGTGCCTTACTAGTAACAAGAAGCTAGTAGTAACAAGTGCCAC